CGGAATCGAAGGCCGCACCGCTTGCCTTCCTCTCGGCCGCCGTTTTCCAGCGTAGTCTCGTAGCGGATCTCGCGGCTCGGAGAAGTTCCGGAAGAAGCTTCTCTCCTCTGAAACGGCCGAACGCGGACGACGATCGATAGGAAGATAGACGCGAGAGAACGCGAGGCGAGATCGCGTTCGAGAAACGTTGCGCAACGGTCGTGAGACGACCATGCCGAGATACGACCGAATCGCTGTTTCTTTCGAACGGCCTGACGTCAAGCGAACGGTGGTGACGCGGTCGATGAATTCGATCGAATCTCGTCGGCGTTGTCGATCGGTTTATCCGTCGAACGCCGGATTCGTTGGTTCGCGCGCGGTAGTTTCCTCGCGTATCTCGGACTCGCTGTTGCCTCTAATTGTAAGAGCGCGCCAATAAACCGGAACCTCCCGCGATTAAACGCGTCTGTTAGGAAGCAGGGGAGGCGCTTAGTTACCCCGTTCTCTTTTATCGCGCGATCGTGTTATTTTTACCACGCGACGCGGCTGTTTTTCCGCGATAGGGATAAACGGTCGAAGGGATGCCGCGTTCTCGTTGGCGGATCGCGAGATCGAGGAAACGGAGGCGAAACGAGAAAGCTTGGTCGGTTTTCCCCGTCGAGCGAACTCGCGTCGATCCACGGCGTAACGATCGTCTCGCGTGTTTCAGAACGGTCGACATGATAGGAAACGCGGTGGCGTTGAACGCGACCGTGTTCCAGTCGACCGAACAGGATCGCGTCGACGTTATTTTCGATCGTTTCTCCGGTAAAGATCTCTTTTCCCCGGAAGATGTTGCCTCGACCGAGAACGAGTCGATCCCAACGACCGTCGTCACCGTCTCGACGGAGACGGACGCGAAATCGTCGAACCACGATGCCGAGGAGGACACGAGCAACGACCAACGAACGGTCTACACCGAGACGTTTCTCGAGAGTTGCGCCGAACTGGCAAGTCACGGCTACTCCGGCGATCGCGAGGAACGCCGCGCCACCACATGGTTTTCCCGGCTTCGCCGACGATGCTCGACCGTACGCGGTAAGTTCACGATCTCTCCTTTCTCCCCGTGTTTTCGAGTTACCCTTTCTCCTAGCCTTCCTTCCGCCTGTTCGAATCGCGGCGTTTGTCCGTCGCTGTTTTCTCGGGCTGGAAACGCTAAACCAGCAAAACTAGTCGTCCTTCTGTCCCTTTCAAATTGTTTACTCGGCCGCGTAATCGTAGCGATCCGTTTCCGTTTCGGAAAATATCGAAAGAATGCCGCTGCTTGTTTTTCGATCCCTCAAGCCGAGAAAACAAATTTCGCGGGGATTATACTCTCGGTCGAAAACAGCGGCCGCGGTTAAGCGGATTAACGTCGAAGGGGCCGCGCAACGACCAATAGGATCGATCGGTTTTTCGGCAGCGGGCGTGCGCATGCGCGTTTCCTGGAATCGTTGTTCGGCGATCGACGGGTTAGAAAAACGCGCGATATTTGCTCTCGTGGTTTCAATTTCGTCCCGTCGAGAAGAAACGTAGGTTCCGTGGAACGTTCATTCGAGTTTTCTATCGGTTCCGCCTCTCTCCGCGACGGACTGTCGCGATCGGATCGGTGAATAACCGGGAGAAAAGAATGGAGAAGTAACGCGATACTTTCGAAACAGGAGTAAGTTCTAACGATCGACCGACGCGACCTTTCCGCTATTGTTCGTTCGTTCGTTCGAAGCATAAATATTAATCGGACACGAAACTGCCCCGGTTCGATGCAGGCGCGGAATCGTTCGATGGAGGCGCGCCGTAAGAAAAGCCTGTTTACGAACTACGGAAGCCAAAGAAACGCTTGAAAACTATCGAAATCGTTCGTTACTTCGCTCGCGACGGAACGTACGGTAGGAACAGCGACGACGCGCTTATCCGAACGTTTCGCGCGAAGTTAGCCGCTCCGAGTCCGTAGCGCGTCGAGATCTTGGCCGAATTCGAACTCGATTCGACTCGAATCGATACGAATAGAATTCGCGAAATGTATCGAGTTACGTAAGATTCGCTCGACGCGGATCGACGCGGATCGACGCGGTTCGACGCGGTTCAAAGTACGAGGACGAATTCGTTCGGAAAGATCGGCGTTTAGCGAACGCTGAAAACCGAGCGCGAACTACCGCCGCGAGAAGGCCAAGGCTGTGCGGCCGGGGTTGCGACGCGTAATCGTTTCTACGAGATACCATCGAGTTGATCGCGATTCGATTCGAAAGGTTCCTCCGGTGTCGCGAGCGAGCAAGGGCAAAACGCTCGAGAACAAACGATAGCGGACGATGAGGACACGCGTTACGAATTTTCTTCGCAGATTGGCTGCCCACGATGTGCTCTTGCTTGGAAGGAAGCGCCGCTTTCTTGGGAAATTATCAACGCCTCGGTGATAAATCGAACGCCCTCGAGTTCGATCGCGCGACCGAAGAAGCCAGGGGGAATCGCGGCGGCAAACGCGTGAATGACGATGGACGATGACGACGACGACGACGACGACGACGACGACGACAAGGTATAAAGTTTATTAGGATTGGCTAGACGTTCGATCGAGACGCGAACGTTTCTCTCCGTTGTCCGACAGGTGGAGGAGTTGCGCTTCTACAACGACGATCTCAGCTGGAACAACTTGCACGTTCAAAGGAATCTACGCACGGACAATGCCTGCGAGCTGCTCAAGATTAAAAGGAACGTGTCCGGCGTCGATTGGTCGATCATCGAGACGTGGCCGGAACTCGGAATCGGTGAGCATTATCGTTCGATCCGCGCGACGATTCCGAGTCGATTTCGATATCGAGTAACGGGATCGATTTCGTAGAACGTACGCTGGAGGATCACGAGGACGTATCGGCGGTGTACAGGGACATGAGATCGTACCCTTCCCGGCACGACAGAAAGTTGCTTTTCCGTTTGGATTTTCTGAAATACGAGTTTTTCTTCGACCCCGAGGTGAGTCCGATAAAACCGAGATCGCGAGTATCTCGCGAGGAAGCGCGCCGCGTTCGTTCGCTAGCGCCGTTTCGCCTTGGCGGGATCTCGGTCGGTAACGCGGCTCGGCGCGTTGTCGACGCTCGCCGCCGCGACGTTCGATCCTAACAGGCAACGTTCCTTGCAGCAATTTTCTCCCAACGAGATGGTCGATTTCCCAGCCGCGTTCGCGGACGACGAGGGAACGCTGACCGACGCCGAAACCGCGTTAACGGTAATTTCTCGCAGACATCGATCACAGTCACCGTGTTCCTCGGAGATCGACCGATCGAACATCGTTCCGTTCACGTTTCAGAATTATCTGCAAAAGGACGACGGCGAATGCCCACAGGTCTTCAGCTTGGTTTGGATCAGGATCGATCGTTTGGACGTCTGGAGAAGAACGCACATGCTGCTTCGGGATCGGAAGCTCTACCTCGCGAGAAAAGTGAGTGTTATTTGTTGTTTCTCGACACGTTTTCTAGTTAAGCTTTCTCGTGCCTTGCTATCGGAAATTTCCGCGACGCGCGAATCGCCGCGAATCACCGCGAATCGCCGCGAATCACCGCGAGTTGGCACGGATGAGAACGCGTGGCCGCGAGCGTGTCGCTCGTGACACACATTCGCCCTGGCAAAAGAGCTATTCCGCTGGGAACGCCGCTACCCGGGTCATCGACCTTCCTTCTGCCGCCTTCTCCGCCTCCGCCTACGCTCTTTCTCTTCTCTTTCCCTGCTCTTTTCTTTCGATTCGTTCCCAGTACAGCGCTCGTTCGCCACTCCGCTACGACCGGTACACACGATCTAATCGTCGAATTCGTCCGCGTTGCCCGCGGAAAATAACTCTCGTCTCGCCTCGCTCGGTCCGTCGCGCGAACACGATCGAGCATCGTCGTTGTCCGCGAAACGGTCCACGGTTCCGGAACGACGAGCTCGTCGCCGACAACCGGATATTCGCTCCCCGGACGCGTTGCACCGAAAACGGACAAGAGGAATTTTTTCGCCGAAGCGTCACGCGACCGCGCGACTCGTCGTCGTTTCTCGATCGTATCGCTTTCGTTCTTCCCTCCTCCGTTCTTTGGACGCGGCTTGATTCCCCGCAACGCGTACCCGCTCGTTTCACCGTTCAGCCTGTCGGACAAACACAATGCGCTTTCGCGATGCACGCGATCTTACGACGTCCGTTGTTAGCCCGCGCGATTGTCGGCGCTCGCGACGCGTGACGTTTACCGATCCACTTTCGCTTTAGCCGTGTTCCGCGTTCGCGATCCTGCTTCCAACGATCTTCGTCTTCTTCTTCTTCTTCTTTCGTTTCTTGAGTCTAGCGATCGATCGAGAGAAATTTTTCCCGGGTGGACCGAGCGTGAACGCTTCGTACCTTGTTCTGTTTCAGACGAGCGTGGTTTCGCTGAACCGATTACCTGTAAGTATAAATCCTCGATCGACCGTTTCGCTCGAAGATTGCCGAGAAGCTATTCGTAGGACGAATTTAACGGGTTAGGCGAGGCAAAAAGGGAACGCGTTCGTTGCTTTCTGGCACGCGGCCGAAACACATGGATTTTCCGACCGCGTAACCGTCTGTTTTAGCGTCGTCGTCGTCGTCGTCGTCGTCGTTGGTCGAAATACGTCTCCCTGTATTTAATAATACGTTAAATACATAAACGCGGATCCGTTCTCGATCGAACGGAACGACGAAGGAAGAGCCCGAGAAAGATTAACGACCGACACGCGTTGCGTCGTTCGGGTCGAGGTTCACCGGAGCATATCGATCCATCGGTGAAACGAGCGACGCACCGGCCTCTATCGGTTTTCCTCTCGGAACCAGCTTCCTCGATCGTTCGGCGTACTAGACTCGATTCGATCGGATTTCTCGCGTAGGATCGAGCGAACGAACAGAGAGAAGAAACGGAAGGAAGGAAAGTAGAAGGGGGCAGTCGGCCAGCTGATTCGGGTGATCGAAACGGCAGGACGAGGACGGGAGCGGAGGAGGCGGTGGTGGAAGCGCAGCGGCGCACGACCGATGCAGTCTGCCGTCGCCACCGGCCACCGGGAAACCAGCTGACTGCTCGACTCGGTCGTTTTCGGCGCGCGTTCGCCGTCGTTCGGATCTTTGTCCTGTGGCGTGCACGAGGGTACCGGTGCGGCGGTACGCGGGCGCTACGCGGCGCGACGAACCGCCGGAGCGTCGGAGCATCGAAAGAACCGTCAGTCGTCGTTCCGACAGCGAGGGGAGGCGATGCGTCAGTTCGCGTCCCCTACCCCTTCGCGCTCGATCGCTATCCTCGTTTGATTCGCGATCAGTTCAGACGCCGGTGTCGCACGCGCGAATCGCTACCGAACCACTAACGAACCACTAGCGAACTACTAGCCAACGGATTCCATCCCTAAGGAACAACGTCGTCTTGGTGTTGGTTTTGGTCGTCGCGCAGTCTGCCCGTTGCCGGTAACTGCTTCCGTTACGTTCTCTGCGCATCCACTACCGTCTTCTTTCCTACCTGTCAAACCTATTCTCCTCGTTTCCTCTTTCTTTCGTCGCCGTCCTATCTTATCGAAGTCGCTTTGGCCAGCTCCATAGCGGACCAACGGAAAACGGGAAGGAAAGAAAGGGAAGAAAGGGAAGAAAGGGAAGAAAGGGAAGAAAGGGAAGAAAGGAAGGAAGTAAGGAAGGAAGGAGGGCCGAAAGAGAAAAGATAAAGGAAAGAAGAGGAAACGCGGCCGGTCGATTCGCGGCGATCGAGTCGAAGTTTCAGGAACGACGCGATGGTAGGTTCGTCGAGCGTACACGTGCACCTAGCTCGGTTCTTGGAAATCCTCGGTTTCCACCGGTCGCTCTCGAATCGAATCGAATCGACCCTCGACTTCGGCTCGACGATTAAGAGCGAGAAAACCGACTCGACGAGCCATCGCGCCGCGAGACGTTCGACTCGTCGCCTCGATACGAATTTCCCTGGTAAGTGGTTCGGTCTCGCGACCGAATCGAACCGAATCGATTTCTCTCGCTTTCCCGAGCACCGGCTCTTTACGATTTCCTCCGGACGGTTACGGTTTCGCTCTTCGACCTACTCTTCTTTCCTAGCTCTTCCTTTTCTTCTTTTCGCCGGATCTTACTTATTTCGCTCGATCTTCGACTCGAAATACCGAACCGATCGAATTTTATCGTGGAAAATCATCCGTAAGAGGAGTAGAGTCGTTTTCTAAACGTGGCCATCGCGTCGATTCGACTCGGCAAGACGTTCAATTAGCCCGCGAGTAGAGCGCTACGCCTACGCGATCCGCTCGAAAACCGGTCGAGGACTTGCTCGTCCGGGGAAGTCCGCTTCTTCGTCTTCCGCGTCTACCTTTGAATCCGCTTCCGACACGATACGATACGACACGATACGATACGATTCGATTCGCGGGAACTTGTCCTCTGTTGCGCGAATCGGCTGTTCGCGCTTCTGGAATTGCCGGGTAAACCGGTTCGGCCTCTCGGAAGTCGTCTCGGTAGCGAACGAGATATACGACGGCGATTCGACGGCGATTCGACGGTGAGAAAAATGCAACGACGCGACGATGATTTCAGGACAACGAGCACCAACTGATCCCGCTCGCTCACCTGCCGGACTACTCGATCTACAAGATCGCGAATGCGAAAAAGCGATTGAAGGCGCCCTTCGAGTGGGGCATCAGCCTGAGGCCATCCCTCAACGCCAAAACGGATAGCCCCGTGCTCGGAGAATCCGGCTTCAAGTCCGTCGTTTTCCACAGCGAAAAGTCGCGCGTTTGCTGGCTCACGGCCATGAGACTCGCCAAGGTAACGAGATAGCTCGATCGAACATTCTTTCTTTTCCATTGTTCCCAGGATAATTCCACTCGGTTCCTTCGGTTCCGTAAATTCGGTTCCGTACCGACCGAGCGAATCGAGACTAATCTCTTGCCTGTTACAGTATGGCAAACAACTCAGGGAAAATTACAGAGCTTTCAAGAACAAACAGTGCGAGCAAGGCGGCGGAGACGGTCGAAAAGAGAGATACGTCAACTACAACGTGTCGAACGTGAGTATCTCTGTAGACCGTTGGAAATTGCCCTCGGACGATTCGATCGCGGGACGCGCGGTTAATAATAAGCGGATAGGGAGAAAAGTCGCGAGCCAACGGGTTAGGAACTAGTCGAAAGGAGGTGAAATAGGGGTGGGGAAAAAAAAAGATCGACGATGGACGAAGGAAGAGGAACGCAGCGGCCGAGATAGTTTCGAAAATCGAGCAAAAACCCCGAGGCGGTCGACTGTTGCTACGCGGCGGCGACTATCGATCATGCGCGATGCGCGCACGGTTCTAGTAGAGGTTCTTAGTAGAGAGAGAGAGAGAGCGGAGAGGTACGCTTTCGGCGTCGTACCGTTTTCCCGAAGCGCGATTCCTTCCGTTTCCCATCCCGTCATCTTCCGTTCTCGGATACGTTCGAGCGCAGAGGATCATCCCTCTCCGTCGTGTCGAGTCCCGCCGAGTTCGCTTCGCTGCGACGCTCTCGTTTCTCTCCGCGGCGCATCGTTCGCGACGCACGGTCGATTCCGCGTACCTGCGCACTCGCAACCTTGACATTGAACCACCGTATCGGTGCAATCCGATCGAGTCGAACGTCGGTTCCGGTTCCGAACTCGCTCTCCTCTGTACGCGCGCTAATCGACAAAATGGAAGAGGTAGGTGTGTACTCGAACGCGGCTCGTGGATATCGAAACGCGGAACGTTGTAGGCGCGACGGTCAATCGAATACGAGACCGGCAAGGAAAGCGAGAGTGTAATCGGACACGTGTTCGACAGGAGTCGGCGCGATCCCGCGTCGCTATGGATTTCACCGGAAGCGTCGGTAGAATCGTCGAGGACCCGCAGGAGGCGAAAAACATCGCGGAGAGCGAAGGCGTGAATTGGCGGCGAACATGGAGGCCATTCTTGAGAGCACCGCCGGGCTGCGCCGTGGTCAGACTCCACGGACTGGACGACGGCATCCACGTGTTGCAGCCTTGGTTCCACAGGGACCTGAAGAGGGACGTCGCCGCGGCGATCGTCAGAGACCACGGTTCCGTCGACGGGTGAGTCCAATCTCGAGAAGACGTCTCGTCTCCGTTGATCGAAAATACCGATCGTCGCGTTTACCACCGTTTCAGAGTGTTCCTGGTCCGGGAGAGCAACAGCAATTTAGGCGCGTACGTGTTGACCTACAAGTACAGCGACAAGGTGTTTCACGCTCAGATTCAGCCGGTGAGTAGCCAACGTCGACGCTCTATAGAGATTCGAGAAAGAAAGAACGATTGGTTCGCAGGTGTACGACGAACGTTGCAATTGTTGGTTGTACACACTTGACAAGGGTGTGACCAAATTTTACGACCTGTTGCAACTGATCGAGTTTTACCAGCTGAACGCGGGCTCTCTACCCACCAGATTGACCCGATACGTGCAAAACGGCGTGCCGTGCGCCGTGCCGAGGCCCGAGGACGGCGGCGCGTCGCCTTCGCCACCGGAACTCCCTCACCGGTTCTCCAACGTCGCCAACGTCGTCAGCGTCGTGAACGTCGCGACGCCCGCCGGTCATAGGAGCATCTGAGAATAGGAGATCCGGCGACCCGCTATCGTCGATTGCGCGTTTCGGCAGGTTCCTTCGCTCGACGGGAAAGGGAACAGGGCCGCGAACGCTCGGTCGACGCGGTCGGGTTGCTGGAGTTTGTGCCTGTGCAGCTACAGCAAATGGAACTTGTAACGCGATTCGACTCGTCCGCTCGCCGCTGCCCGTCCGCTTCGCCACGGAAACCCGACGGCTTCGAAAATCGACTTTGACCGCGGTTCATCAATCTCGATTTTTCACGTCGGCTATTCGATCAGCGCGTTACTCGATTCGATCCACCGGCGACCGCGGGCGGACGAGACGCCGAATCGCGACGCGATAAAACGATGGTGGAAAGCCGAAAAGAAACTTATTAGTTCGTTCGCGCGCGCGATCATCGTCGACACAAATTTCCGATAAAATAAATATATTTTGTACGAACGTAGACGGAAAAGCCGACGCGCGATACGTCCGAGATCCGCGTCGGTCGAGAACAATAAACGAAACGCAAACTGTTGCGAAACCTGGTCGCCTTTATTTCTCCCCCGAGGCGAAAGCGAATTCGAAGGAGCCGCCGTCGAGTCCCGTGCTCGAGAGAAGGTAGCGAAATCTCGGGGAACGGTACGGAACCTAGGACGCGAGCTCGGATCGCAACAGGTAAGATCGGACAACTGTAGAGAGGAGGAGCAGCGCCGGACGAGTTCGTGGAGAGGGGCACGTAGGCGGAGAGAGGTGGAATTCAGGTGCGAGCAGCAGGCTAGCGGAAAAGGCGGCGGTAGTAGTTACCTTCAGGATCGCGATCCTCAGTTCACCGCGACCAGTCGACGCGTCGAACCGACCGAGGTGACTTTCCGCTTTCTTCAAATACCGACAACGTTTTCGCGTAGTTGTCCACTTTCCGCCTTTTCAACTCGTGCCGTTCTCGTGTCTTTTACAGTCTTTAGAGTCTTTAGAGCAAATTCTCTTTAGAAACGAACGTCCGCGAGGTACGCGATCACGATCGACGAGTGTGTTCCGGTCGTCGGTGGATCGGAGAAACCCGTGGCGCAGGCGCGAGTCGAGCATCGGTGACGAAACTGCGATGGATCGCGTTCGATTCTCGACGCGTTTCGACGCGTCGCGTCGCACGAAGCCGACTCTGGAACCCGTCCGGTCGCATTCCTGCCGATCGCCCACGCGGCTACGATGCCTTCGCGGCGTATCGAACCGTTACCGCCTTTCTCCGATTCCACGCGTTTTCTTCCGTTCTCGCGCAAACGGATAAACCCGCGTGTTCGCGTTCTCGGTTAGCGGCAAACTTTCGACGTTTCTTTCGTTCGTCGTAGCTCGGTGCCGATCGCTTTCCAAATTCTTCTCTTTTCCCTACGCTCTCTCTCTCTCCGACGTTGTCCAGGCGGCGCGCCACGATTCTCCTCCGAATAGGCCGGCAGGTCGCGTGGCGAGGAGGATCGACGCGCGTTCGCCTGGGCAAAATCGATCGGTAACTACGGTGACGCGTTGGAATTTCCTCGGTAAACTCGCGGATCGAAGAGGCTCGCTTTAGAAACGCGATCGAAACGCGACGAGGTCGAATCGGTCGGCGAGCAAACGATCGTCGACGAACGTTCGGACGCGCGATACCTGCGATGAGTCACGTCTCGTTCGCGTTCCCATTCTTTCCGAAGCTGCCTAACCGTTCGACTCGGACGCAGCACCGCTACTGGTGACCGTTTCGCAAACTCTCGACCGGTCTTTTCAGAATCGGAATGGTCCCTGCGGAAGGCGTCTCGTCGAAGGAGCTAAGTTGAAACGAGTCGGCTCGATCGACGGCAACGTTTCGAGATGAAAGCACCGATCGGATTGTTCGCGCTGGGAGTGTTGTCAACGATGGGACGCGCGATCGCTGGCTTGAATCCGGAAGGAGTATTGTGCGGCGACATACGCTGTTCCACCGTCCAGTATTGCAGCCATTACGATACGCACTGCAAACCGTGTTCCAACATCTGCGACGCGACGGCACGCAATTATCAGCCTGACGAGTGCACCAAGGATTGTCAAGGTACGCGCGAAACTCGTTCGGTTCGGGTGTATCGATCGTTTAGCGATCGATCCAGAAGGGAAACGCGACGGAGGTGGTCGACCGAGCGTTTTCCCGAGACCCGAACGCCCTAACGAGAGAGACCAAGCGGCTTCGAGTCCGTTGACTTTGCACCTGACCACCGCTCCGCGCCGCTCTCCGCGACGCCCTCCCCACCGAGCACGCTCGATGACTCATCGGTGCACTCGCTTACCTGCCTGCTGCCTTCTTTTCTTTCCCTTCGGCCCTTCTTCGTTGCTCCTTCACCTTTTTCCTAACCCGCCTCTCCCCGCCACCTCGGCCGCTGTCTTCCGACTTTCTCGACGACGCCTTTTCGTCGTTCTTTTCCCGAGTTTCATCCTTTTTTCAGAGTACCTGCACAACCAGCGATACGTTCTTCTCGAGCGGTACGAGGATTTACGAGGTAAGTCGAGCGAGACGCGCGGTTCTCGGTTCGAACGGACGCTCGATGAACGTTGCCTGGAAAATTTCAGGAGAAGTCTCGCGATTGTGGATCCTGGTCGCGATATCCACCGCGGCAGCCATTCTCTCGCTGCTCTCCTCGATGTACCTGCTCGGCAAAATGTTCCCGCGATGGGGCAAGATGCGAGCAACCGTGGCTCGAGCGTTCACCGGCAAGTGGATCAAGGTGAGTAGCGAATCGACCGAAAACGATTCTCCTTAATCGCTGAAACCGACGCGTTCTCGCAGAACGATCGACGCAATCGCAACGAGCCGAAGCCGCAAGACGACGCGGAATTGGGCGCGTCCAAGCACAACGGGCTGAAGCTGACGATGCCGACGATCAGCGCGAGCGTGGCTCCTTCTCGGGAGCCGGAACGCGGAAATGGAAACGGAAACGAGAGCGGCAGCGGGAGCAGAAGCAGCGCGGGTCACGCGACGCCGAACACCACCACCACCTCGTTGTCGGGGAGGCACCCGAGCGAGGACACCACGTTGGACTACGCTTACGATAATCCAGCGATGAGTCCGAGTCCGGAAACCGCTCAGCTGAGGACGAAACGCGAGAGTTCCTTCTGACGGAACGCAGCTCGTCCATTTCCCCACCAGTATTGTACATATACCGAGTAATTTTAAGTACTTAACGGATCACGCCTCTCGCGAGAGATCGCGCGATCCTTCGCAGATCCTTATCAGCCATTCCGTCCACGAAATGCCTTTCGAGCGAAGCTACGACGCGTCGTGCTTCGTATAGGTCAGCGACAGAGAATTTCCCTACGCTCAACTCGAATGCTCAATCGTTTACTCCTCTATTCGGAAAAAGAATTCCTTCTCTTCTCTATGTTATTCTCCTCTATTCGCTGACCTTAGATTAAGTAAATTCGTACGCGTTTCTACGGGGATAGGGAGAAATCTTTGTACCCCGATCCGATCGTTGGTTGACCTCTATAGCAGGTATTTTTTAATTTTAACACGTTTTCTGTTGTCGTTGCTACGATAGTTTGTACAAATAAAATATGCTATTTCCGAGAACGATCTATCGATCCGCAACTCGTCCGTATCTATATTAGGGTTTCGCGATGAATTATATTAGGGCGGTATCGGTGTCGCGGGACCGGTCGGATGCGAAGAGCCGGCGGGTCTGGCCATCACCAGTTCCCTCGTGTTCTTTTCCGGTCTGATCAGGACCACGTAGACTTTCGGCAGAAACAGACAGAGCAGTTGCACCAGTCCGTTCAGAGACAGCGAGAGCGCCAGAGTGATCACCTTCACCTCGTTGCTGGAGGAAGCCAGGTAGAGCGGTACGAACGCCAGCCAAAGAATAATCGTGGCGTAATTGGCGAACGCGATTCGCCGCGTCTCGTTGAATCCTTCGGGACACTTTCTTGTCTTGATCGCGTACACGGTGGACGCGACTGAAAACGATAAAGACATAATAAGGATCGTCGAGATCGGCGGCTCGAATTCTCTTACCGGTCAGCACGAACGGGTACAACAACCCGATCACGTACGATCCGTCCTCGGAACCCTTGCAGACTCGAACGTTCGCGTCTCGGCTCGGATACGAGTGCGTCACCGCCGGTGGTTCCTTCAGCAGCCAACTCGCGTCGAACGCGACCTCGATCATGCTCAGGATCGACGCGATCGCCAACTGCGACCGAGGACTGGTGTACCTGCGAAATAATCTTCGTTCAGCGAAATAGGCTCCGATTATAGTCGATTATAGAACGACTCACCGTCGCTTGCGGGGACTGCGCGCCGGATCGTTGAATATCCTGTGAATCCTGTTGATCTTGGTGGCGAGCGCGGCGTAGCAGATCGTGTAACAGAAACCGATTCCGAAACGGACGACGGCGCAACTGTGGACGCTGGGCTTCGCGACGACGGCGAACGTCATCGAGAAGCATCCGAACGTGCCGAGCAGCAACAGGAAGGATAACTCGCGACCGGACGCCTTGATCATCGGCGTGTCTCGATACTTCCAGAAGACCGAGCAGACGAACGAGGTGAACGCGATACCTGGGAAAACGTTAACCTGGTTTATCGCGGCAACGAGCGTAATAACGGGGATGATTACCCGACACGGCCA